CCATTTTCCGTCAAGCTTTTTCGGCGCCGATCATTCCCTCCCCGCCACGACTTCAAACGTTTCTACTTGCCTCCTAAGCTGCCGCCTAAGCTGCCGCCGCCGCCTTAGTCTGCGGAATCATGTGGGATCCGGCAAAACACTCCTATTTACTTACCATGAGTAGTGTGGGATCAGACCCTTAGAGTTGGACCCCACAGGAAAAACAATGGAAAAGACGTTTGGCCACAAAAAGCGGCCGAACGATTTTGGAAAGGCTGGAAACTCTTTTGCCGGGACCCCATCGCGGACTGCGTTTTGCGGCAAAGTGCGCAAGTTCTATTCCATTATAGGAAATGCGGCCGTTCAGCATCCCGAAAAGGAAAGTGGCCGAATGTCCGGTAGGCGTAGGTAGACCGAAGGAATGACCGTGCCGCCTGAAGTGGGTGACGCAGGGCGGCATGTGCGAGAGGCAGTGCGACCTCCCGGCGGTGAGGGGGCCGAAGGGGACCCACGGTCCCCATCGCGCTGGACGGTTCCACAGTCCGTACCGTGAATGCGACCGTTGGCGCAGGCCTCTGCATTCTATAGGTGGACGTTATCTCCGCGAGCCGCTGCGATTCCACGTGAGTGAAAGCTATCGCCGCCATTACCGGTGTCGTCTGCCTCGTCCATCGCTCTTTCGTCCCGTCCCCATCGCCGCAGTTGAGTGCACGTGTTCAAACGTCCACGCGCATGGCTTGTGCAAGGGTCGCTGCACGTAGCATGCCGCGACGTCAGACCCGATGGACGATTGGGACGATACCATGTTCCTCATGGTTTTCGTCCTTCTGCAGTGCATGAACAGAAGGAACTCGGCGGCGATGGCTGTCCTGCAGGCAGCGGCTGCGATGCCGACTTGTCTGTCGGGGTTGTCTTCCACCTTGTTGCATCTCACGGGTGCAGTGATGCACAGCATGTTACTGGCGGACGTACTGGGCAGCGTTTTCATCCGTCGTCTGGAAGGTCGAAGACGCGTGTGGGTGTTGGAACGCAGTGGGGGTGTGTGGAAGGACCTCCAAAGAGAGGGAGGCAGGCATGAGAATGTCTTCCAGCGGTTTTGCAGACTTCCCCGACCGTTGTTCAATGAAATTTTGGCTCGCATAGCGCCACATATCCAGCGTCAGACGACGAACTGGAGACAGCCAGTCCCAGCGGCGCAGAAGTTTGCATCCGCTCTCATCAGGTGGGCAACGAGAGGTTACTACAGGCAGTCGGCCCATGGTTTGGGTCTTGGTTTGGCTAGCGCACTGCGGAGCAACGTCGATGTTGCCGATGCGCTGATCAGGGAGTATGGGCATCTGCTCCAGTTCCCAACAGGGCAGAAGCTGCAAGAGATGTTGGACGCTTTCGAACGCAAAGGTTTCCCGGGTTGTGTGGGAGCCATAGACTGCACCCATGTGTACATCGATAAGCCTGCAGGTCAGAGGGGGGAGTGTTTCTATGATCGCACCGGCCAATTCTCTGTTGTAGCGCAGGTGGTGTGCGACCACGAGTGCCGAATTCAGAGTGTTTTCGTGGGTTGCCCGGGGTCTGTCCACGATAGTCGTGTGCTGCGAGTGTCTCCTTTGCATCACGAGGCACAGCGTGGTGGTGGGGTGTTCGGCACGGGCGCAGAGGTGCTGCGTGGTGGCCGTACGATTGGCAAGTACTTGCTCGGCGACGCTGGCTACCCGCAGTTGCCGTGGATTATGACTCCAGTTGGGGGCAACAACAGGAAATTCAATGCGGCTGAACAGGTGTATGATGATTGTCACACCTCCGCACGGTCATGCATCGAACGCACTTTCTGAACATTGAAGGTGGTGTGGAGGAACTTCATCAGGACACAAATTGCGAATATGAAAACCCTTCGCAAAGAGTTCATGGCCATTTGCATACTTCACAACCTTATGGTGCAACACAGGGTGCAGGTGGATCCTGAAATGCCAGTGCTTTCCGACGACAGTGATGGTGATGGTAGTGATGTGCAGAGCCGACGTCGGGAACGGCGTCCACGTCCGCAAACGCGGCATGCACCCTGTCCGCCCCCTCCAAAGGAAGACGCAGCATGCGCTATCGAGTTGGGGAACGAATTGAGGGACTGTCTCATCATGCATGTGTGGCATCACAGCCGTGTTCACGGAGCTCCTCCACCGAACCCTTGGCAGCGTTGATGCCGGCCAAGGGTGTGTGTGTATGTGTGTGTGTGTGTGTGTGTGTGTGTGTGTGCGTGGAAAGACAGAGAGTGCAGGAGGGGGAAGGGGGTTGGCAGCAGGAATGTTGAGCAGAAGTAATCACCTTTTTTGCAAATTTGAAATTCTCGCTAGACGCCGAGTCGATGGATGCCTCTCTCTCTCTCTCTCT